TTGGAGGCTGGCAGCGCCCTCCTCACACTTGAGTCCCGGGGGAGCAGCGGTAAGGGCCCATGGCCAGGCGAAGCTGGTGGGGCTGGGGTTTATATGCCCATAGGACCCCAGTTCCTCCTGTGGCTCTGGGGACTTGGCTGCCAATCAGCTCAGAGTGATACCCATGTGCCTTCAGGCTGCGAACAGGAAGGAAACAAGGCTCAGTGGTGGCCAGTCAGCCTGATACAGCATGGCCTGTGGGGAGACTAGGGGCACACATCATGACACAAGGTCATGGGCAGAAGTTCCCTGTCCCCCGTGCAGAAGTGGCCTGTGATAGTGGACAGGAGCAGCCCTTCCTGCCTCTGTCCTGGACCTTTGGCTTTTCTCCTCAACCTCCTTCCCTTTCCCTGCTTGCCTTCCAGGCCTAACGCAGATCAACCAGGTGGTGAGTCACCCAAATCAGCCCCTCACCATCACTGCCCATGATGACAGGGGCATCCGCTTCCTGGACAATCGGACAGGTGAGGCCCAGCCTTGGCTGCCCCCTCACTAAATGTTGCAGACTTAGACTGCCAAATTCTAGTGCCCACCTTCCAGGCTCTCAGAGACCCTTCTAGCCCCTCACCTTCCCAAGTGATGCCCAGAATGTGAAGGGACTGACTGCCACCCACCCCACATCCTTCCCTCCAGGTAAATCCGTGCATTCCATGGTCGCCCACCTGGATGCAGTCACCTGCCTAGCCGTGGACCCTAATGGCGTGTTTTTGATGTCAGGAAGTAAGTTGGGTCCCTCTTGCTGCCCCTTCCTCCATAGGGTTGGCGGCAAGGAGGAGGAGGGGCACTAGTCCCTGCAGAGCAGGTGCAGGCAGTGGTAAAGAATGTCTCTGCCCCAAGTCTGCATCAGGTGCCCTGCCTGTCTAGCCTCATTGACTCTTCTTGGTAGCCTGCCTCGTGGGGATTTGTCCCTGTGTTGCAAGCGTATGTCCAGAGGCTTGAGAGTTTTGTAGCTTCACGCCCTATTAGTGGGTTGCAGGACCAGATCCCCAGAGGGTTTGTACACGCAGTCCCTCTCTGCTCTTGGGATACAGGCCCAGCAGCTAGCCACACTGGAATGGGTAGGCAGGTCCTCAAGGGAGGAACAGGCTGGAGCTCTCCAGGACCTGAAGGATGAGGCCTGGCCCCTCTGACTCCCTGTGTCAGACCTGTGCCAGCTGCAGTGAACGTGTGTGTGCACGCACACACACATGGAAGTGATGGTGGTAGAGCCTGTGGGTGGCTTGGAGCAAATCATAGCCAGCTCTAACTGTTGTCACCATGTGCTGGCAGCTGAGCAGCTAGGCCCCAGCCCTCTTTGTTCCCTGCCCAGTGGCGTAGGCCAGTGACCCAGTCCTGGTATAGACAAGCAGGCCTGAGGCTCTGCTTTCTGGGTTGAGTCCCTGGAGCTGGGTTGCCTTGAGGAGTGGGATTCCTCAAGCTTATTAGGCCCTCCTGTGCCCAGCTGAGGCCCCAGCCCAGGCCAGTCTGCTGGTATCACTTCCACCCTCAGCCTCCCACACCCATCATCTTTAGCTGCCTATTCCATGCCCTCCCTGACTGTCCTCCTACTTGGAAGGCTCCCCCATCCCTCCTTAAACCAGTGTCCTCACACCAACCACCTGGCGCTGGTGTCTGCTGCTTTTTTTCGCTCTACTGAGGGTAGAACCCAGGGCTTTGGGCAGACCAGTGCTCAGCCGTTGAGCCGCACCCAAGTGCTTCAAACTGTGTCTGTGATGGCTGTCTCACCGCCGGCAGAACTTGACCTGTTTTTGTGCAGTATACCTTCCAGGGTCCTTCCACTTAACTTGGTGACTAGCAGGATTGGGACAGAAGGGCCACCCTTAGGGTAGAGCCATGGGTTGAAGAGGACCAGGCTGAAGCTTGGTGACAGCCACACTGCCTCTGCCCCACACTTGCACAGGCCACGACTGCTCCCTGCGCCTGTGGAGCCTCGACAACAAGACGTGCGTGCAGGAGATCACAGCCCACCGCAAGAAGCACGAGGAGGCAATCCACGCAGTGGCCTGCCACCCCAGCAAGGCCCTTATCGCCAGCGCTGGTGCTGACGCCCTGGCCAAGGTCTTCGTATGATGCCCACCTGGCCTCGCCCTGGCTGCACACTGGCGGGGAGCGAGGCCAGGCCAGTGGGGCTGAGGTGAGGGCCAGGGGCTGTTTGTGTTCCAGAAGAGTGCAGAAACCCTGAGTCCTTGCTTCAAAAGGCCTCATGGCCACTTTGTCAATTTAGGTTATACCAAAACCCAGAGTCTTGTGAGAATAGATGAGACATCCCTGGGAATTGGGAGGAGTGGGGTCTAGAGCAGGACTCTACCCTAACCAGCTGCCTTTGCTGTCTCTGCAGGTAGCCCCTAGTCTCCTTTGGGAGACTCCGAGTCTTGGCCTCTTCCATCTGCTGTGGAGCCTGGTGGTGCTAATGGCCCTCCCCCGGAATCTCCCCTTGAGGATGGCCTCTGGGTTACTCAAGACCCCAGCCCCCTCTCCTGGCAAAGCTTCCCTCCTGAGCGTGGCACAGCCAGGGCTGGATATCCTTAGGGATCCGTTTTTTTCCTAGACAGCTAGAAGGTGCCAGGATCCACCCTAGAGTGCCGCCCCTCCCTCTGCCCTTGGGAGGAAGGCTGTGTTGGGAGGGTCTCCTGTCGCCCTCCTATGTGTGGGGAGCCCCAGGCTGTTCTCTTGGATCCCAGATCTCTACCTGCTTTTAACACTAACCAAGCCTCTGGGGCCAGGCCTGCCTGAGGAGGCTGTCCCACCTCAGCCCCCACTCCTCTAGAGCAGCTCTCCCAGCCCACGGACCCTCCTTAAAACAGAGTGGGCTTGGGGCCTGCTCCCTGTATATCTGTATAAATGAATGGGATTTTAATGGCACCCCTCCCCCATTATCACTGTGTGATAGTCTGTCCGTCTCCTCCCAACTCCACACTTTTGCCTCTATTTATTTCACTCTTTATTTGGGTTCCACCCTGCACCCTTCCTTGGTCCCTTTTCAAGTTCGTGTTTATAAGTCCCGTCCCCTGTATCCTGAACTTGTACGTGAAAACGTGTCTTAATAAACCCTTTGGAGTAAGATGGGTCCCCAGGCCATCTGTCAAAGGGGTGGGGAACTTTGAGGGAGGAGTCACTGCCCCTGCCTTGACTGAGTGGTTTAGGGGTAGGGGATATAGGATGGGTTGGGGTTTTGTGGTAGACCAGGGGGGTCTGGGCGGAGTGCCAGTGGAGAGGCGGAAGTGGGAGCACATGACCAAATCTTCGTGAGCCCCCCCTTTCTGTCCCTAAACATGTCTTCCTCAGGAACAGCCCCCTGGTGAGCAGATACTGTGATGTGGCAATGACAGTTTGACTGAAGACCCCTTGCCTGCCCGGGCACTGAAAACTGAAATTGCTTCCCTCCCTGCACCACACCCCAACTCTTAAGACTTAGAGCGGAAAGGGAGTTGGTAGACTCACCAGTCACGTGGTGAGGGGCCCTGGAGGACATGCAGGTGCCCAGGCCGGAGAGCAGCAGAGTCCCCACCCCTTGCCAGTGGTCGCTGTTAGCTGTGGAAGTCAGGCCTTAGATCACCATCCTCACAGTCTCAGAAAGCGGGGTGGGGCTGGGAGCCCCAAACTCCAGAGGATGGGAGTAAGAACAAGCTGGAAGGCCAGGATTCCACTCAGTCATCTCAGTGGACACAGCATGCTGAGGCCTCTGCCACCTTGTAGCCCCTCTCCAAAGAGCAAGGGTTTATTAAATGGGCTGTGTGTCCAGGCCCCAGAACCAGGCTAGTGAACAGGTGGGGACTAATTGGTATTTCATGGAGCCATTTGCCCATCTAGAAAAAGGTGCAGGTGGGCATGTGGTCTTTAGATGACACTCTTGGACTAGACTGTTGGTTCCACGTGGTCTTGCTCCCCCTCATCCTTTCAGGGTCTCTGCAGCTTCCCCAGGTGGTGGTTTGGGTTTTCGCTCCAGCCTCAGACTTCCTTCCCCAGCCCCTGCCCCACCACCCCCGGATGTGGTGACTGCCGACACTGTACCTACCTCAGCTGCCCCAGCAGCCGTGAACTGGAGGGGGGGCCTCTTGCAGCCCTCATCTTCATCAGCCCTGCTGGCCAAGGATCCTGCCTAGACAGCCCATCTCTGTTAGGATACCTTAAGAACTCACGCCCTCAGACTTGCCCCAGCAGAAGTGGTGATCTGGGACAAGTCCCTGCTCTTGAAGGCACCAGCTTCTTGAATGGGAACTAAATGGTAGCCGCCTTCTGATTATTAGTGTAGAAGTCAGAATTGCTCCTGTTGTTGGGAGTGACCACACAGGCCCTTAGTAAATGCTCACTTTTATTTTCTTTAACATATTTTTGGGTGTGGAGGTCAGAGGACACTCTGTAGGAAGCCATATGGATCCTGGGGATCAAACGGCAGATCTTCAAGTTTGATGGCTATCCCATCTGGTCTGCACCCTCTTGCCAGAGACAAACCTGAGGCTAGGCTGTCCTGAGCGTCTAGAGGCCTCGGCTTCCCACCTGTGGAGTGGGTGGGGTGTTGGGCTTGGGACGCGGGAGAGAGGGGTTGGGGGGAACTACAGCGAGACTCTGAAGAGACTGGCCGAGCCGGAAAGCTGGCCAGACTTGACACCGGGTTTCTGACCCTTTCCCTGCGGTGGGCGCCGGATGCAGACTAGTCCAGACGGCTTGCCTCCTTAAGGAACCAAGCGCCTGCTCCTCCCGGGCCCCACGACCTGGGGTGGACTGAGGGTGGCCCGCCCCTCTCTGGCACTCAAGGGAAAAGTTAATTTCCCCGGCTTGAGTGTCCCCGGGAAGGATTAGCCCGCCTCTGCCTGGCACCTCCCACCCTGGACCACCAGATTCCTCCAACTCTGGAGCGCTGGGACCCGCCCTCCCCTTCCGTCCCTGGCCCTTAGATAGGCTCCGCCCCTCTGACGTTGCCGAGGCCCGCGCTGATTGGCCGGCTGAGCATTCGCTCCGGAGACTTCCTCCTGGGCCGCCGCTTCGGACTTAAACTTTGAAGGGGGGAAAAAAGAGCCTCTCGCGCGCGGTGCGACCCTCCCTTGCCCCCCCACCCATCCCGCCTCCGGTAACGCTCCCTTCGCCGCCGCCCGGGACCCAACTTTTCTGCAACTTTCACTACGTGTGATATTCTCTTCCAGCCCTGGCCCTGGGGGGATCCTTCTTCTCCCCATCCCTGAGCGAGTGGGATCCCTAAGATCCACTAGGTCCCTGACTCAGAGACTAGGGTAGCGAACCCTTGGGGCCCCTCTGAGTTCGATCCTGGTATTAGACCCACAGGATCCTGGGGGCCTCCCTGCTCCCTTCACAGCCTTGGGGTCTTTTTGATTCCAGGAACCCCTGGCCTGCCAGATTTCCTTCTCTGATTTCTTGCCATCTTCCAGTCGCTAGGTCCCTCCAGACTACGACTGTTCTTTCTGATCTGTGATCCCTTGACTCCCGGCTGGTGATCCACTAGATTCCTTTCCTCTTGTTTCCCAGGATCCCGCCATCATCGGATCCCTCAATTTGACAGATTGCTCTTCTCGGATCCACCCCACGACAGCTCTCTAATCTAGGACCCGGGTGCACAGGGCTCCTCCCTGCCACATCCCCGGTGGGCTCCCGGCGGCGGGTCCGGGTCTGCCCCCATGGCCGCCGCCCCCTCTCATCCCGCCGGACTCCCCGGATCCCCCGGGCCCGGGCCTCCTCCGCCCCCCGGGGGCTTGGAGTTTCAGTCCCCGCCACCACTGCTGCCTCAGATCCCAGCCCCGGGCTCCGGGATCTCCTTCCACATCCAGATCGGGCTGACCCGGGAGTTCGTGCTGTTGCCGGCAGCCTCGGAGTTGGCGCATGTGAAGCAGCTGGCCTGTTCCATCGTGGACCAGAAGGTAAGGGGCTAGGGGCTCCCCCTGTCTGAGGGGAAGGAGGGGGGCTGCAGAGGCGGCCCTCCCTGCAGGGAGGGGAGGGAAAGGATCTGAGTCAAGAAGAGACACTAGTCCTCAACTGCGTTCGCACTCAATCATCGCTTTGAGAGGCCCGGGCAGGGGTGGGGTGCCCCAGAGGCCTCCCCAAATTTCGAGTCACTGCTTGTTTTCTGCAGCCAGCAGGGAGGAAGGGAGGGGCCTGCAAGATGTCCGGTGGGGAGAAAGGGGCAGGTGGGTGCAGGGGGTTAGGAACACCTCTCCTTATGGGCCCATCCTGGGCCTCTCTGTCTTTGGAAACAGTAGAAATTGAAGCCATTACTGGCCATGGCGATCTGGTGACATGTGTGGGTGTGGGTGTGTGCATAAGCTGCCAGGGCCAAGTGAGGTGTCAGGGCACAACCCCTGCCCTCCCTCTCCGAGGCCTGAGGTGAGTGTAGAGAAGGAGGCATCCTTGGTGTATCTCTGGCCACCCCCAGAAGCCCTGCAGACTCGACCTCCTTCCCCAACAGCTCCCTCATCCTATCCTTAGCTTTGGCTAGCAAGAGTGTCCCAGCAAGAGGGAACCAGGCAGAAACCGATGCCCAAATCCTAGAAGGTTAAAAGTTACAGCAGGGCTAGGGCTGTAGCTCAGTGGTAGAGCACTTGCCTAGTATGCAGAAGCCCTGGGTTCCACCCCCAGCGACAGGAAAAATAAAATAAAATTAATAATAATAATAATAATAATAATAATTGGCTTATATGTAATTCAAGTGCCAGATTATAAAAATGTTAGAAATTTTGACCAAAGTAGTTGGATTGTTGGAATCTCTTCATACTAAGGCATTCAAATATTAGAAGCTTAATTTATAATATTCCTACTCCGTAAAATATCAGATTTCTGCTTATCTAGGTCCTTGAAATTCTAAAGCATGCAACGATTATAATTGGAACCTGGAATGTATAATTCTATAATGTGAGTGTGTTGGAATCCAAAACATCCAAATTCTAGGCTTTCTCAGACTCTTGGAAATAAATCAATACTTTGGGTTTCAGAGAAACATAAAGAACAGGGAAGCCCCATTTTTCCAGTCAAGGAAACTGAAGTTTAGAAAAAGAGCTGCAAACTATTGCCAGTTCAGTAATCCGAGCACTGGGGAGGCAGAGGCAGGAAGATGGTGAGGTTGAGGTCAGCCTAGGCTACATACCCAGATCCTGTCAAGAAAAAAGAAAAGCCATCAAGCCATCAGGGCCAAGGCCAAACTCATTTTCTGTACAGGAAGAACAGGTGGGGCTCTGTCCACCAACTCCCCCAAATCTAGCAGGCTCAACAAGGGCCCCCAAATCACCCTGCCCTATAGGAAGCCAGGCTGGGACTGTGTAGTTTTTCCTTTTGATTAAAATCCTTTGTACAGGTCAGGAGTGGTGGCCCACGCCTTTGATCCCAGCACTTGGGGGCAGAAGCAGGCGGATCTTTGTGAGTTCGATGCTGGCCTAGTCTATATAGTGAGTTCCAGGACAGCTGGGGCTACAAAAAGACACTGTCTCAAGACAAAAAAAATAATAAATAAATAAAAATAAAATCCTTTGTACAATGGCTCAGACCCCCAGGCACCCTGCCTCCGGCCCAGCCTAGTTTGTTTTCCGTTCTTCCCCCCGGTACAGGTGCTGTGCAGGGCCCCTTCCTGCCTGTCTGCCTTCCCGATACCCCACCTGGCCGGTTTCACTTTCTGTTTTACCCGGGTTTCATTTCCTGCCCCCGCCCCAAGTTGAAATCTGTACACCTGGGTCTTTTGAGCAGTAGGTGAGGTGAACCCTCCCTACCTCTATCTTGCTTGAGCATAAGCTGCCAACCCCCAGGACAAGAGTCCTAAGCCCGCCCCCAAAAGCCCTCCCCCCACCCCCCCTCTTGCTCATTCTGCCCCAATGCTGGGCCAAGAGCCAGGTAACAGGGACAATAGATCCAGGAAGGAAGCTGGGGTGGGGATGTGGCTGAAAGAGAAGGGGGTGATCACTCAGGCACCCCACCAGTTCTGGAAAGTTCAAAGTGTCCACTGTGCTGGGAGCCTTTCACTCACACACACGCACACAAAGAGTCGTCCCGTCAGCCCGCCCCCCACCACACTCCAGTCCAGGCTTCAGACTCTGCTCCCTCCCAGCACACCTGGGGCCCTGGTATCCTGCTCTGCTCGAGCTGCGTTGGGAGGGGACAGGCAGGAAGCGGTGGGCTGCAGGGTCTCAATTTCCGGGGGAAACAACTGGTCCTGTCTCTAGAGGGTTCCAGCAGGCTGCTGCCGCTCCAGGCAGCTCTGAGCTTTTCCGTCGCTACCCCCTTCTCCCGCCCCTCAGTTCCCGGAGTGTGGTTTCTACAGCCTATACGACAAGATCCTGCTCTTCAAACATGACCCCACGTCGGTCAACCTCCTGCAGCTGGTGCGATCTGCTGCAGATATCCAGGAGGGCGACCTGGTGGAGGTGGTGCTATCGGGTGAGAGGCGGTGGTCACCTTGGGGGCGGGGCCTTGGGGCACTGGGGACTGGCTAGGTGGACAGTGGTGGCAGACTGTAATCCCAGCATTCTGTAGTCACAAGTATGCCACAAGTTCGAGGCCAGCCTGAGCTAAAGAGTGAGATCCTGTCTCAAAAAAAACAAGTGAGGCTCATCAAAAGATGTACCCCATAGAAGTCTTGGGAGAACTAAAGTTTTTAGCTTTTTTTAAAATTACTATTATTTTTATGCAGTCTCACTATGTAGCACCCTGGCTGGCCTGGAACTCACTGTGTAAACGAGGCTAACCTCCAAAGATCCACCTTCATCTGCTTCCCTAGTGCTGTTTGAGCATTTTTCCCCCAATTTGTGGTAACTGGAGATTGGACCCAGTGCCTTGAACACATTAAGCAAGCGCTGGGGCACTGAACACCGGAATTGTTTTACATTGTGTGTGTGTGTGTGTGTGTGTGTGTGTAAGCGTGTGGGAGGGGTCAGAGAACAACATGTGGGAATCATCTCTCTCCTTCCACCATGTGGGTCCGGTGATTCCAACTCAGGTCATCAGGCTTGGCAGCAAGCACCTTCAGCCGCTGAGACATCTCGACAGCACTCGAACTGTTTTTAATCTTGCAAAAATGAAGCCTTCTGCCCATTACACAACTCCCCATTAACTCCCTCCTTCCCAGTCGCCCGTGTAGGCATGTAGGTTTGCCCAGGGGAGAGCTGGGATTTGATCCCAGGTAGAACACAGCATGTGAATAATGAACGAAAGCACAGGTGTTAACCTTGCATCCTTGAGGTCGGTGAGAAACTGGGATCGCTGCGACTGTACAGCACCCGCCCTCTCTGGCTCAGGCATAATGGCCCTCTCTGCTGTCCGCAGCCTCGGCCACCTTCGAGGACTTCCAGATCCGCCCTCATGCCCTCACCGTGCACTCGTATCGCGCGCCTGCCTTCTGCGACCACTGCGGGGAGATGCTGTTTGGCCTTGTGCGCCAGGGCCTCAAGTGCGATGGTGAGGGGGCGAAGGGGCTGGGGCGGAGCCCAAGAAGTGGAGGCTGGGTGGGCCAAACCTGGGATGGAGGGGTGGGCCTGGGGTAGTGCTTAAAATGGGGGCGGAGCCCAGGAGCTCCAACTCCTTGATGTTGGCCAAAGCCTGGGATGGAGGAGTAGGCCTAGGACAGTGCTTAGAGACTGGGGGCGGAGCCCAGGAGGTGGGGCTTGATGGGCGGAGCCTAGGACGCGGTTCAGAGACGGGGGGCGGAGCCCAGGAGATGAGGGCTTGGTGGGCCAAACCTGGGATGGAGGGGTGGGCCTGGGGTAGTGCTTAAAATGGGGGCGGAGCCCAGGAGCTCCAACTCCTTGATGTTGGCCAAAGCCTGGGATGGAGGAGTAGGCCTAGGACAGTGCTTAGAGACTGGGGGCGGAGCCCAGGAGGTGGGGCTTGATGGGCGGAGCCTGGGACGCGGTTCAGAGACGGGGGGCGGAGCCCAGGAGATGAGGGCTTGGTGGGCCAAGCCTGGGATGGACGGGTGGGCCTGGGACGGTGCTTAGAGACTGTGAATGGAGTCGAGGAGGTCGGGGTTTGGTGGGCAAAACCTGTGATGGAGAGGTGGGCCCGGGGCGGGGCTCAGGTTAGGGGGTGGAGCTTAAAGGTGGGGCGCGGTTAAGCTTTGAGGTAGAACGTGGGGAGGAGGTAGGGCCTAGGGGTTGTGGCTTAGTGGAATACGTAAGGGCTCTGGGGCAAAGCTTGGGAAATAGGGGCGGTCCTTGGCCCGGGCTCTGGTATGCGGGGCGGAGACCAGGAGATGGGGCTTGGTAAGCGAGGTATGGGCTCTTGGGGAGGGGTCGGGGCCTAGGAGTTTGGGACTCCAAGGGATTAGTAAGCACCTAGGGGGAATTTGAGGGATATATGGAGCTCTAGGGAAAAGGGAGCTTGTGTCAATCAGGGATCAAGCAGAACCAAAACCAGTAGGAGAAAAATTCAAGTTTCATCTGGAGGAATTGGATCTGATGGTCTGGCGCCCCCTACAGGCTGCGGGCTGAACTACCACAAACGCTGTGCCTTCAGCATCCCCAACAACTGCAGTGGGGCTCGGAAGCGACGCCTGTCGTCCACATCTCTGGCCAGTGGCCATTCCGTTCGACTTGGCAGTTCTGAGTCCTTACCCTGCACGGCTGAGGAGCTGGTGAGGGGCTGGAGGCTGGGGCTGGTTGGAGACCGGGGGCTGATGGGACCAGGCACGTATTAAGCAATGCACTGACCTGTTCCACCCTTGCTGACTGGTAGAGCCGAAGTACCACCGATCTCCTGCCTCGCCGCCCGCCCTCGTCCTCTTCCTCGTCCTCCTCTGCTTCCTTCTACACAGGCCGTCCCATTGAGCTGGACAAGATGCTGTTGTCCAAGGTCAAGGTGCCTCACACTTTCCTCATCCACAGCTACACACGGCCCACCGTTTGCCAGGCTTGCAAGAAACTTCTCAAAGGTCTCTTCCGCCAGGGCCTGCAGTGCAAAGGTTAGCAGAACCAATTGCAACAACTGTAGGTCTCAAGCTCCCGGCCGCGGACCACAGACCCATGTCCTGAATCTCAGCCACTCTAGAATCTCTGGAGTTCTGGAATCCCAGGCCCTTGAAAATCTAGATTCCTAAGACACTTAACATAGAATTCTCACTACAGAACACAAGAACTTGAGTCAGAACCTTGGACACATAGAATTTAGGAATTTTGGAGTTTAGCGGGGATGGGGGGGTGGGGGGGGTGTAGAGGCACATGCCTTTAAATCCGAACCCTCAACCCAGTGTGGTAGTGCTTGCCTTTAATCCCAGCACTTGGGAGGCAGAGGCAGGGGAATCTCTGTGATTTCAAGGCCAGCTGAGGCTACAAGGAGACCTTGTCTCAAAAACAAAAAAAAAAAAACCCAATAAAATAAATAAAAATAAAAATTGGAGCTGGAGAGACTGGAGTGATGGCTTAGCAGTTAAGAGGTTAAGAGTGCTTGGGGCCAGGCATAGTGGTGCACACCTTTAATCCCAGCACTCAGGAGGTAGAGGCAGGCTGAGATGGAAGCCAGCCTGATCTATCTGAAGAGTTCCAGGCCAGCTGAGACCCTGTCTCAGAACTCTGGAATTGCCTGGCATGGAAGTAGATGTACCTGTAATACCAGTACTTGGGAGGCTGAGGCAGGAGAATCAGGAATTCAAGGCTAGCCTTGACTACATAGTTTGAGACTGGACTCCATGAAATGTGATAAAAAAGCTGAAGACGATGCGCAGTGAGCCTATCATACCAAAGGTTCTGGGTTCAATTCCCAGTACCTACTTGGAACCAAATGGTGGTACACAAGTCTGTAATCCCATCATTCCAAAGGTGGAAGCACAAAGTTCAGGAGTTCACGGTCATCTTCTACTTTAGCCAGTTCCTGGCCAAACTGGGCTCCCTGGGACCCTGTCTAAAAACAAACAACAATAAACAAAAGGTCTGGGGGGTGCTGAAAGATGGCTCAGTAGTTAAGAGCACTGGCTGCTCTTACAGAGGACGTGGGTTCAGTTCCCAGCACCTACATGGCAGCTAACAACCATCCATAACTCCAGTTCCAGGGGATCCAACACCCTATTCTGGCCTTTGTGGGCATTACATGACATGAGTGTACTTACATACATGCAGGCAAAGCATACACATAAAATAATAAGTAAATAAATAAATAAAAAAGTCTGGACCAGACTTTTGAAAACAACCTGGATCAGTGGAAGGCTCAGTAGATAAGATCGCTTGCGACCAAGCCAGATGACCTAAGGTCAATCCCCAGGTCCCCTATGATAGATGAAGAGAATCAACCTTCACAATTTGCCCTCTGACATACACACTGTCGCATGCATGTACACATGTGTGCATACACACAAATTAAATCAAATTTTAAAAAATTTTAAAAACTTGACCTGGTGACCTATGCCTACAATCCCAGCATTTCAGATGGAGACAGGAGTATCAGGAATTCTAGGTCATCCTTGGCTACATAATCAAGTTCTGGGCTAACCTGAACTATATAAGACCCTGTCTCAAAGACAAAAGTTGGGCATGGTGGCACAACAGACCTTTAATCCCAGCACTCAGGAGGTAGAGGCAGGTGAATCTCTATGAGATCAAGGCCAGCCTGGTCTATGTAGTAAATCAGGCCAGCTATGGCTACAGGGACACCTTATCACCTTATCTCAAAGAGTTTTGTGTTTTTTTGTTTTTTTAATCTGGAATTGAGCAGGGTGTGGTGGCACATGCCTTTAATCCCAGCACTTGGGAGGCAGAGGCAGGTGGATCTTTGTGAGTTCGAGGCCAGCTGGGGCTACAGGGAGACCCTGTCTCAAAAAGACAAAAAATCTGGAATTGCTCTTACCCACTGAGCCATCACCCCAACCCCTATAATGCATACTATAACCCCAGCACTCTGGAGGCTGCGGCGGGAGGATTACCAGGAATTCAATGCAGCCAGCCTAAGTTACATAAGACTTTGTCACATACACACACAAAAGTAACTCTTGCTGAGCATGGCACAGGCCTTTAATCCCAGCACTCAGAAGGCAGAGGCAGGCAGATCTCTGTGAAATTGAAATTGTGAATTGTAGACTCAGCCTGGTCTATATAATGATTTCCAGGCCAGTTGGGGCTTCAGAAAAACCCTGTTTCAAACAAAAAGTAACTGTTTCTCATCCTACCCATCCCTTTATTCCCTGTCTACTCAGACTGCAAGTTTAACTGCCACAAACGCTGTGCCACCCGTGTCCCTAATGACTGCCTAGGGGAAGCACTCATCAATGGAGGTAAGAGTCTTATTCCTGGGCTAAGAGGTCCAGGGCAGGACCAAGTGGAGGACCCTCTGACGCCCCTGTCCCCACAGATGTGCCAATGGAGGAGGCCTCTGACTTCAGCGAGTCTGATAAGAGCTCCCTCACAGATGAGCTGGACGACACTGGAATCATCCCAGGCTCCCACTCGGAGAATGCTCTCCATGCCAGTGAGGAAGAGGAAGGCGAGGGAGGCAAGGCCCAGAGGTACCCAGGGGCCTCTCAGAAGGCTCCTCCCCACAGCAGACTTCCGCTTCTCCACCTCAAATGGGCTGATGTCACCATATGAGTGTAACTGTTCTCAAGTCCCAAAGCAAAAGTTTTTTTTCTTTTTTCCTTGCTTGCTTATTATTTATTTTATTTTTGGTAATTTTGAGACAGGGTCTCCTTCTAGCTCCAGCTGGCCTAGAATTCATTATGTAGACAAGGCTGGCCTCAATCAGAGAACGCCACCTGCCTCTGCCTCCCAAGTACTAGAATTAAGCCCAGCCATATTTTTTAAAAAGATTTAAAAAAAAAATAATTTTATGTGTGGGGCTGGAGAGATGGCTCAGTGGTTAAGAGCACTGACTGCTCTTGCAGAGGACCTGGGTTCGATTCCCAGCACCCACATGGTGGCTCCGAACTGTCTTTAACTCCAGTTCCAGGGGAATCT